TCAGACTAAGTTACAGTCATTTTCTTAGGGCTGCACAGTGTTAGGAAAACTTGCAGTGTGAGACATTATTGTTTAGTGTTGTGATGACGATATGCGATAAACCCACATTTTCTTTACTTCTCATCTCCAACATCTAAACCAGGTGTGAACATCAAGGCCAGTGAGTTTGTTGGACTCACCAATATTTTAATAGCAGCAGGACATGAACACGTGGTGCCTGAAATATAATGCTGTGGCAGCCAGTTTGAGTGGGGTTGACTCCAAAAGTGTTGATGTGCATAAATTATTCTCTTAAAGTTTTATTATAATCCATCCACAGGTTAATGAGATACTGTTTTCCAAAGCTAAACACACACACTCATAGACAAAAGCAGTATTGCCCCTTTGCCAATTTTAGTCAACACTTAGGAACTATTTATGGTAGAAAAATCCTTAAATGTGCACATATTTTTAACCACATGACTCTTTTCCTGTTCTGTGAATCGAAGAAGCCTTTGAGTATTGAATAAACAGGAAGATTTGAAGGAGGATAAACAGATCCAGGCCAGTCGCAGGAAAGATGAGGGATGCAGGCGAGAATACTTGTCCTTTTTCTCTGCTACAGTAGAATAAATGTCATCTTTCTTTGTGTACTTCTCGATGAGACAACACTGCAGATAGCACAGCCCAGTATTTGACTGGTGGGTGTTAATAATCTCCCACTTGGGTGGTAGGGGGGTGGGTCAGTGCACACAGCCCACTGTGTGCCCATCCCACAGCTGAACGAACTGAAACAAATAAGATCGAGGGGTGAAACTCAGCCACACCTGTTTCCCATAACCTTTGTGCTCCTCTCCTGGAGGGTTTAAACTGCTGACGCTGCATCTCATGTATGTATACCTCTTTAATATAGACCGTAAAGTCCAAGTGACTTTAAAACTGATCACAAAGTGTGATTTATTTTTTTTAAATAGGGGGAAAACCTTGATTTCTGAAAAGAGCAGGCCAAAAAAATAGTTTAAAATGTTTCCCTCTGTTCATTCACAGCAGGTAATTAACCGTGGAAATATCTGGAAGCCATTTATATAGCACAGTTTCCTATGACTCAGTGACTGAAACACTGAGCTCCTGTCTATTCAAGATATTTTCAGCAGACAAGGCATGCAAAACAGTGAAAAATAATAGCGAATATTAGTATTTTCCCTGTTTCCTTTCCATTTAAAACAGATAATTACTCACAAAATCATGTATGCCATCAGAAATGTTGATTGGTTTTTGGAAACAGATGGTGAGATTAACAGCTAAAGTGCAGTGTGATGCTATATTGGGACTGTTTTAATATGATCGCTTGAAAATACTGTTTAGCTTCTCTAAGTTGTCTGTAGCTCTTAGTCCACTCACTCTCACAGATGTAAATCTTTAAAAGCCAGAGTACTGAAAATAACTCATTTAAAAAAAGATCACAATTTTTCAAAACACAGCATTCACCTCAGACAGAACAAAACCTGCTGAGCATGAGGGTGAGGCATGGGTCAGGCAGAACTACTGCAGAATAAGCCACGGTGGTAATCACATAGAGCTGTGCAGTAGGGGTGTAAGAAAATATCGATACACTGAAATGTTGCGATATTTCATTTCCCGATACTGTATCGATATTCTAAAGCCCTGTATTGATTTTTTATTAAGGTTTAAAACGTCAACCTTCTTGCCAACCGTTCATTTTTATGTTGTAGTTCAGCCTCTGACCACTAGATGGCAGCAGTGAGCCAGCCATTTGGCTCCTCTACCTCCTGAGCACCAGAGAGTAAGGGTAGCATTAGCATTTAAATAAACATTAGCTTTTCTTTTTTTTTCCAGTAAGAGGTTTTTATTTAATAGAATTTTTGGACAAAAAAATCGCAATATATCACAATATGTTACCTTGCTTACATTATCGCAACATATCGGGATATATCGTATCGTGACCCCTCTGTTATGATATGTATCGTATCGCCAAATTCTTGCCAATACACAGCCCTACTGTGCAGGTTTTACAGCACAAGTAATGTAACAATAAGACGGGAAACCAAAATACCAAAAGTCTGAATGAAAATTAAGCACGTCATCATTGTGCAAAACTCAAAGCATCTTTAAAGTTTACACTGAAGCGACTAATATACCAACATTAGAGCCCCTATTTTAAAGTGTAATAAGCATTTATTTAACTTTGGATTTATCAGATTAGTGCACAAAAGCCTATAATCACCAGCTGTGGTTGGCTCCTTTTAATAGACAAGACCAGACATTAACTAAACTTGGTGTGTTTGCAGCTCTGAATTCATTATTGAACCGCCAGGGAGTTCACAACCTCTGCCAGCCGGTCACATCTGCCGTAGAAGAGGAGGCAAAAGGGTGGAGTTAACAGAAGATGGTGACCACAAGCTGCTCCCTGAACCCCTCACAAAACCTCCATGTTCCACAACAAAGCGCCCCCAACTCATCTGCTGATGGCTTCCCTTCAAAGAAAGGAAAAAAAACTGCTCGCATTTAAAATGATTAAGATGATTCAATCTGCTGCTTTACATCCAAGATTTAAGATCAAATTAGAAGGATCAGATGGGTGAGACAGCTGTTGCCTCAAGCACACCAAATCAAACTTATTTTAAAAGCTTTTTGGCTCGTAATTTTCATAACAATGGCCAGAGCAGGTTAACAAAAGTCATCAATTAGCTTTTGACTTTTAACTGGTATTTTTCACTAGAGTCCTGTTTATCAAATGTTTAAAGTTGAATTATTTGAACGATGCTGCTGGTTCACCATAACAACAATTAAGAAAAAACAGGACACTAATCTATGTTTATATTAAGATACAGACCAGACCCCTCAAACTATAAGTCCTGACCTGATCTGCCCTGTGGTGACAAAGACATTAACCTCTCCAGGAAATCAAATCTGCGTCGTCAGTGCGCTGCTCGTTCTTAACATCTATTTCTGTTCTCGGTCTGTAATTTAGGTGGCTCCATTACTACATTATTTATTTGGATTGCGAATCATGCGGCCCCTAGAGAAGAAACCACAAAACTTTGCTCTTCAATTACAGACCTCACATGTCTGTAGCCACACCTTGAACGAATCCCCTCCTCACAGCACCCATCTGCTCTAAAAAAAAAAAAAAAGGGAATCCGAAAATGACACACTTAAAATAAAACCCGACAACAAAGCTGTTTGTCACCAAGTCGCCTGCACTGCTGCATTCTCAAGGCACTCCAAACATGGCATCAAATGTCAAAAAAAGTTGTTCGCAATTCCTCCTCTGCTGCCTAGAAAGTCTTGTTTGTTGATAATACGATCGTTTGGCTGTGAAGGTGACTAGTTGGACAGTAATTCTGCAACCACGGGGTGCCAAAAAACACATTTGGAGGCGAATCAGCTTAGATTGCAGCTGTGTTTTGTTTATCAGATCTCTGAGTTGATTTATGATCCAACGCTATGTGGGTACACACAAAAATACGGTGTGAAGAGGACCCTGCAAAAACATGTGTGGTAAGTATGTGTGTACGCACTGAGGAGGAAACTGGTTCAGCAGCAGAAAAACAAAACTAGTCAACATTTCATGGGCTTTCACAGATGAGGTATGTCTTAGAAATATATAACCTCAAGTTAATGGAAACAAAAAAGTATGTTTTTCATTATATCCAAAAGCATTTTTTTATGTGATTTAGTGAAAATCTGCTCAGCTAATTAATAAAAGATCGAGCATTTCTTGAACAAAGGACAGAGTTTTCAACCAGGACCAGCCCCTTTGATTTGGGACAGCTCCAAAAGTTAATCAGTTGTAGACGCAACATCTACTTTGGGAGTTTCACTAAAACACATCCAGTGGTTCTTGAGATGTCTCGCTAACAGACAAACAGTGCTGACTCTTATAATTAGTGATGCTGAGCAGATGCCAAACTTTAATTTGATATCTTGGTTGAGTAATGACCTTTTTTTTTTGTTCTCAATTGGTTGTGGCAGCCATCATGAATTGACTCTAAAAGTTAATCATTTATAGCTGTGATGGGAGCATGTCACATGTAAGGTATTTCCTATTTTTAGACGCCATTTTAACAGGTATGCATGTCCGAAAAGATTAGGCTGTCCTTGAATCCATTGAATAAAGCTAATGGTGCATTCCTGGGTAGTATTTACTAAGCAGCCACCTGTGTTGCCCCCTCTCTTCAGTCCCTGTCATGCCCTGTAATCCCAGCTCAAGGACGGGCTGCAGCTAAAACGCTCTCCAGCTGCTCTCCCCAGGACAGGAAAGGGACTGGAAGGTGCTCTGCTCCGGCTGGCACGTTGCCCAGCTGCAGGTCAATACTTCCAGAGACTGGGTGGACTGCAAGAGAGCTCCTCATCTCTGCTCCTCCTCACATAAACACATCCCCTCCATTGACAACAAAACCACTTGGCAAAACTTTTCACTCACAGGAGCTCCTCTTCGCTTACCATAAAGTGACGCCCAGATTACTCCATTTGGTTTCTATTTTTGCGCACAGTAAAACCAGTGCTGCTCCTGAATGGGTCTTTAAGCCATCTGAGTGGGAGAAAATCACAGCCGGCGTTTTTTCCCTCACACACTCCCTTGATATTAGCTACAAAAAAAAAGTGTGTGATATAGCCTGGGAAAAATAGAGCAGCACCTACATATACACATACATAACTGATATGTGTATAAAACACACTTAGGTTAGCTAATTCGCTCCATGAGGTGTAAATTCACACAGGAACTTGAGTTGCATTCAAAGACACATTAGGTTTAGCTAGCCGATCAATAGATGTGACTTTACAGCTCGGAACAGCCACGGACAAAAACGTAGCCTCTTATAAACGACTCCAAATGTTCTTAGATGAGTTTCAGAACAAACAAAGGATTTGTGTGTCCCTCTGTTACCGATGACTAACGACAGGGGACCTTTTTTAGCCCCACTCACCGTAGCAACTTCTCCTCGTAACCTCAAAAAGTAGCAGCACGAAAGCGACAAGAGAGACCGTTAACTCACCCGTGAGTCCGAAAAGGATGAGGAAAGGCGCCGAGAGTGGCATTCCATAATCCGATAGAGTCCTCCTCCTGCACGTCGTTCCGCTCGCCATGGTTTGTGTGTTTGTGCGCCTCGGCGCGTTTTTTACCCTCTGTCTTCGCTCCTCTCCTCGCTCGTGCCTTCTCTTTCTGCTGCCTGCTTCTGCTGAGCTCGCCTCGCGCGCTCCTGGAGCTGCGACCGATCCGCGCGTGGGCCGAACCAACTCTGCGCAACAACAAACAGCGACACCGTACGGTTTCAAACATCACATTTACGGTTTGATTCCCTGCTTTACTTTAATAGTTTAATACATTATGGCACCGGTTACTCTTTCAGAAACGGATAGGCATGAAATAAATATGGCCAATATTGGAAAAAAAAGTTGATAGGTCACTAAAATGTTTAACTAGTTTTGAGATTTCCCACTTTTTACATGAGCAGTAAAGGCCACACAGCCGCATCAACTCATTACAGCTGTTGTCAATGACTCTCAACTACTACCAGTGTTAAAAGTACCTCAAAGTGATACTTGAGTGAAAGTACAAGTACCTTATCATAAAATTACTTTTACTAAAGTAATTTTATAATTTTATGTAAAAGTAATAAGTAATAATAAAAAGTATTAGTATTAATATTAATTAGTATATTAATTAATAGTATATTATATTATAGTATATTAATAGTATATTAATTAGTATTAGTATTAAAAGTATTAATACTAATAGTATTAGTATTAGTAATAGTAAAAAGTAAAGTAATTTTATGACAAGTACCTTATCATAAAATTACTTTAGTAAAAGTTAAAATCTCCTCTAAGAATATTACTTGAATAAAAGTCTTAAAGTATCTGATTTATTTTGTATGTAAGTATCTAAAGTAAAAGTATTGAGTAAAAGGGAGTGGTTATTTTCAAAATACATTTATTGGGAGGTGATCTCTCTCAAAAAAAAAGGCGTGCAGCTGTGATGGATTGTGTACAACTAATACAGTGTCAATGGTAAATATATATACTTCTCATCCAGCCTCAATTAAATTCACTCTGTCCAGGTGCAGTTTATCAAGATAACATTTTTTAACAATAATGAGCTGCATGAAGGAGTAACGACTTTCTACTTCTTACCTTTTAAAATAATGTAGAGAGTAGAAGTAAAAAATAGGCTGAAAGATTTCTACTTAAATACATTTTAAAAAGTATTTGTACTTTACAACTCTGGCTACTACCACATCAAATGTTAGCACATATGTAAGATTGACTGAATTATAGCTTTAATTGTCATTTTTAAAGTCAGTTGGTTGTGCCGGCCGTCTTGAATAGGGTTGGGTTGACTATAATTAACTTCAAACTAAGTGCCATAAATAGACACATAATGAACCCTTTCAGAAACCTTACATGATATTTTTATGCTTTAAAGCGTGACTGTATTTTGCTTTTTCGTGTTAAACCATGCTGAAAACATACTGTTAGAATCATTTTTTTATTAGCACCAGGAAATCAGGCGACATGATTTGGAGCATTTACTACCATTACCCATGTCAGTGAGCTGAAACCCCATACAAACTATTTTTAAAACGAGTTTTGAAAGTTGTTTAATTTGAATTTTTCCTCCCTAAAACATGATATGATGTTTGCACCGTGGGGGATTCCCAGGCGTCCATTGCAATTAACCAAAACTGTTGTAAAACCATTCAGTGTTCAAAACCATCATTTACTTTTCTTGGATGATTATTGCCCTTGCACCAATGACTGAACAAAAAATACCATTGTATCACCTAAAGACACACAATCCTTTATCCAACATAACCCAGTCTTTGAAATATACTTGATATCAACTTTGCATGCACTTATACAGTTGTATGAACTAATTAAAATATAATACATAACGTATTACCTCAATTCCAAAAAAACAATTGGGCCATTGTGTGAAATACAAATAAAAACAGACTATAATTGTTTGCAAATCTCATAAATCTGTAATTTAATTACAACACAGGACATTACAAACATATCGATTATTTAGGCTAAGAAATTATATACTTTTAAGGGGAAAAAGATTAATTTAAATATAGTAGCAACACATACCAAAGCAGTTGGGTAAAGGGAAAGAAAAGGCAGTAAAAAGGCTGAATAATTAGCATCAGGTCAATAAGAGGACTGGGTATAAAATAAAGCATTTCAGACGAGCTGAATCTCACAAAAGTAAAGATGGGAGAGGTTACAAAGTATGTGGAAAAACTGCTTTTTAAAGTGGATTAATTGGTTTTGCAATTATACAATGTGTCATTTAGTAAAGAGGACAAATGTAGGATTAATTATCTGCAACTACAGGCCTGTCTTGTACAAGAAAATGTCTAAAACATTAGTTTTAGTTGTGTTCTTCTGGTAATAGTTGTGTTAAAAATGTGTAACCAGGTTTTTTTTTTGTAAAGACCCTGAGGAGAACAAGGAAGTGAGTTAATGTAAAGCCCAGGAGGGTGTTCAGTTGAAGGACAAAGCTGTCACATCAGTGACGTGCTGAAAACCTGTTCTCGAATGCTATCGCACTACGATCCCCCCCGTGCTAAAAACAAAGTGGTAATGAAGCAGCCCTGCATTGTTCTTCTCGTTGAGATAATTACAGCTTTTACTCATTCAGGAATCCCACGCTGCGTGCAGCAGTGCTATTATCATGCGCTGAAGCTTGAGGTGTTAAACTCGCTGCCTCAGCAGTTTTAGGCGTACATCATATTTGCTCTCTGAAGATAAGCAAAAGCAGAATAATACAAATATAATAATGCAGATCTCATTAGGACTCTTCTATGCTGAGTCACCAGTTGATCTTTTGCAGTGACGTCTCTGCGGTTCGTGTTTGCTGGGAGTCCTCATCAGGAGACGTGGACACTACAGAGACTCTTGCAGCTCAGCTTCACTGTGATTAAAGCATGACCCATGATGTGTCACCACACTGTACCCTCAGCTTTCTTAACCGCTGGAGGGTTATTTATATCCTCAAAGAGCTATAAATCCCCTGGTGAAAACACTGCCCTTTACTCCAATCAATTGTACCCCCTGGGTCACTTTACCTCGAATCTGTTAAGTTGGTGCAAGAGGAGCAGAGGTCTTTATAAAATGATTTTTTATTTCCTTTTTGCTACTATAGCTAACATTTAAAGGTATTATATACTGTCCTGAGGAGCACTATTATGTGTATATTTACCTATAAAAACAACCAAAGTGCAAAAGTATATATCTGGAAAACTACTGGAGTAAACACGTTCACACTGCACCGTTAGATGAACATGTTGTGAGTGCCTGTGCTAAAAAAGCATCATCAGTTTTGGTGAAATCTTCAGTCACAATGCACAAAAAAAGTGCACAAAGTATCACGAACACGTAAACCAACTCCCCGAGGGGTTTGAAGCCTTTACGGAAAAGCCAATCATGTTTTTGCTCGTGCGTGTCTGTTAGCAAAACATCTCGCGAACAAATGGACAAATTGTAATGAAATTGTCTGCAAGTATTCAACAAATGCAGCTCTACTAATTAATATTTTGTAGACAACTAGATTCAAGATGGCTGCCAAACCCAGTTGAATCTAAGAAACGCAAAAATAGTTTTAACTCTGTCAATTTTACAGATGCTGAGCTAAAATTTGGTGCGGTCGTGGATGAGCCTGATCCAAAACCTATACTCTAAATGCTAACATACTGTGCAAAATCTTCAAATGTTGCTGATAACAGTTTGTGGTGAACTGTGTTTGTCTGTTGGCAAAATATTTCATGAACTACAAAACAGATTTTAACGAAACTTTCAGAAACTAATCACTGGATGTGTACCTACGACTGTTCAAGTTTTGGTATCAATCCGATTCAAGATAGCTACCACAGCTAATCAACTTTAGCAAACACAGTAATGTCTATCACTTTGTCAGTGTTACAAATGTTGAGCTACAATTTGATGTGGTAGTAGATGAGCCTCTTTTACAACACATACTCTGAGCACGATGTCTGTGTCAATACAGATTGAACATAACTGGAGAACAACTCTAATGTTCCTCAATATAAAATGAGAAAACTCTGGCGTGAAAGGACGATCGATATGCATCCCTCCAATTAATTCCGGGCCTTTAATTTTCCCTGTGATTCCGGTTTCTTCACAGGAGGGTTTTAGTGCTGCAGGAATCCGCCTCCATGGTGAGGCTGCCCTGGCTTCAGACTCCCCTGTGACCGGCGGTTGCACGTCTCTACACAGGCCGTCTGGGACGTTTGGTTTCACAGTCTGTGAAAACAGCCTTTGTTAAACACGACATTCCTCGCCAGTCACACTGGTGAGCCAGTCCTTGCACACTTAGAAACCCTCCTCCCACTCGCTATCCTCTCTCTCTCTCTCCACCCCACCCACTCTGCTCCCGCAGCCACAGTCCCATCCCCTGCCAGAGCTCGGCCATCTTCAGCAGAGAGAGGTCGCCTAACTGCTGACGCTACACACTTCTGTCTGCAGCTTCACGTGCTGTGGGTCTTCTGTAATGAGCCCTGAAATGACCCTCTGCAGGTGCACGCTGACCTTTAGAAGGTATATGTGAAGTCAATTAGGACAGCAAACCTGTTACAGAGCATGTATGTGCACAGCAGTGAAGAACAGATCAATGTGATACTTGGAACACTATGGTCTATAAAATACTTATTTTATCAGCAGGAGTTGCATTGATGTATCAAGTGATGATAAAATTTAGAGTTTTTAGTTGAAGCACGTTTGTATTGATCAGTTAGAGGCAAAATCAGTTTGCTGCATAATTACAATCAGTGTTTTTTTACTCATCTGGAGCTCTTTTTTTTATTCCCAGTGCCTACCAAAATAACCAGATTGGATTTTATTATTACTGTAAATGTAAAAAATAATAATAATTATATAAATGTGATAGGAAATGGCACTGCAGTGGATTCAACTATAGAAGCTGGAAATAAAAATAAGCAATGGATTTAGATCGCCATCTGCTGGAATACAACCCTGAGACAAATGGAAAACATCATGAATGAATTCAGAAAGTTGTTGTTGGACCAGTTAGAGAGTCAAGCCAATTCAAGATGGCCACCACAGGTTTACCAAAATTAAGCTAAAATTTACTGTGGAGATTTATCCTGAACACATGCGTGACTTAAAGTGCCTGTGACATGCTTATCCTTCAGATAAAAAAAAAGTCAAAGAAAACTTTGTTCTATTTAAGAAACTTGGCATACCACACATTATTTTACCCACTTGCAGTGTTGTATAAAGAACTACAAAGTGATACTTGAGTAAAAGTACACGCATCTTACCAAAAAATTACTTTGGTAAAAGTTAAACTCTCCTTTAGGAGTATTACTTGAGTAAAAGTATCTGATATTTTTTGTACTTAAGTATTAAAAGTAAAAGTATTGATTTAAAATGAGCCGTTAGATTTTCTGTAATGACATTTATTAGGAGGTGACCTCCCCAAAATATGCAGAAATTACTGTCATATTAAATTAATTAATTGATGTTAAATTTAAGATGCACTAGTCTAGTCTGTTTCAGCTTATATACATATATCAAGGCTGCCCAAACCTTTTCTCCAAAATGAGAATCTATCTGAGGGCTGCAGCCAAATAAAATAATATAATTCATGAAATACAAATACTTCTTAAGTACAGTCCTTTTATTTTAATGATTATGTCCTGCTGGAGTGTGACATGATTTGTTTGTGTACAAACTAATACGGTATCAGAATTTAATATATGTATACTTCTCATTCAACCACAATTAAATTCACTCCATCTAGGAGGCACAATTTATATGGATAGTATTTATTTTTACAACAAGCTGGAATGAAAACAAGCAAAAATGAAATCAAAATAACAACTTTCTACTTCTTGCCTTTTTTAAAAATGTAAGGAGTAGAAAGTACAGATAATTGTGTGAAAATGTAAGAAGTAGAAGTAAAACGTAGGCTGAAAAATAATTACTCAAGTAAAGTACAGATACACAAAAAGTCTACTTAAGCACAGTAAAGAAGTATTTGTACTTAGTTACATTACAACTCTGCCCATTTGGACACACAACTGGCCTATTTTCTTTTGAACTTGGCTTGGCAAAAGGGAGACAGGAAGTGACATCAAAGGGGAACTCCTTTAAGAAAAAAAAACTCACTGGTGTTTGTTTATTGAAACATTATTATTTGAACTCACTCTGTTTTTGTTTCTGTCTAATAGCGACTCAAAGTAATCTAAAAAATCCGATTCCTCTCCAGAGTTTGGGCCGTTGAGCATTTTAGCTTAGCTCGGTTTACATGCAGACATTCCCCTCTGACATCACTTCCTGTTACTTCACATGCAAATATCTCAACAACTGTTCATCTCAGCAGCATGAAAATGATCTTGTAACATGTTCTCAGTGTTATCTTTCCAAAAATGCCTTTGTATCATTACAAACATTTTTATGTCACAGGCACTTTAAGTGCTACAACAATTTCCCTTTTCATAAACTTTCCATCTGCAAGTACCATTTTGCTTTAATCTGATTTTAAAGGCGAGCCAGCACATCTTAGCTTTGTCTTGTTTGTTGAAGGAAAAGGGGATTCAAATGTAAAATTCATCATAATAACAACACCCTCTGGGCCACATTAGGAGCTAGATGAGTTGTAGTTTGTGTTCTGTGTCGGTGTGGAAAGATGCGATGCTGCGGATGAAGTGACGACAGGCTGGAAAAATGGGCCTAAAAGCTCCACAGGTCAGAGTCGGGACTCGGGACACGGCTAATTTCCAGCGAAGGCAGAGCTGCTGAGTGAAAGAAAAAAAGTGAGCTGGAAATGAGAAGGTGATGTTTTCACAGATGACTCTGTCGTGAAAACAGTTTTCTGATCCAAACGTTTACTGGAAGTTTTGGACAGATTTTGTGGTAATGAAACACAAGGCAGCAGTTACTCCAAATATGAGCTGCTCTGCACAAAAATAAAACAAGTCATAAAACCAGAAGGCAACAATAAAGAGGCCAAATTGAATTTTGGTTCCTTTAAGACTTCATTGTCTTCACAGGAAGTTAAAAGAAACACTTTTTAAATTGGTGGTTAGGCAAATCAAAGCCAGACTCTTCTCAGGGGAGATTATTTTGTAAACTTCCTTTTAATTACTGAATCTCACTTCAGCTGCAGAACTAAAGAATAAAAAAAAACTCTTAATACAAGAGGGCAATCAGAGATGGCTGAAAACTCACTGCAGAAGAGGTGGAAGTCAGTTGTTTTTCAGACCTAAACAAAATGAAGGATGTCAAATGAAAACTGAGTCTGATTTTTCTGTTTGGCTAATACAAAGCGACAAACACAACAACTCAGGAATTTTACGTTTTATAGGAAAAAATGAGCCAAGAACTGAGAAGCTGCATTAAAAAACTGCTTCTAGGAGCTGCCAAAGGGTGTGGTGTTCAGTGCTGGGGGCCAGAAACTGTGACTTCAGGCCCATTTCTCTTTTATTACGCAGAACCTGGAAAAGATTTAATAATGATAAAAAAAAAAATGAAAAGTTTTTACATTATTAGATGAGTCATTTTAACTTTAGCCCATTTTGGAAGTCAATCAAAAATGGTAAATTTGTTTTTTGATTTAGCTGGATTTCCAGAGAAAAGGTGTTTCCACAGAGACAGAGTCCAGTTCAGTTTTACAAAAGAGTTTTGGACAATGAATGACTGAAAACGGGTGGGGGGGTCCTAAACAGTTGGGTTTGACCTCTTCTGTAACATTTGTTTTCAGTAAGAACTGCTTCAGACCAGATGCGAAACGAGCTGTGACATGGACGCATGTTTCTCTGCTTTCAGCTCATTTTATTTCCCGTTATTTGGACGAAATGAGAAGTTTAAATCCTGCAGCTGTAGAAACACACGAGGCTCTTCGCTTCTTCTGCAGTGGCTCTTTCAACGTAAAAAACACAATTATTTAGAAGTTTATCTGTCCAATTACTGGAATTCGCAAATATGTGAATAATATACAAGATTAGATCATTAGCTGCTTCGTTTATCCAACTTCCATCCATTCAGTGTGATTTTTCTCTCAAATCTACTGGAAAATATGTTTTTGAAGGCAAGATGCTGAGAAGAAAAAGTGTTTTGAAAACTCACGGGTTACAAAATATTAAAAGTATGACACTGTCAAAAAAATGCCAGGTCATTTATCAGTAAAACTTTATTTTGAAGAAACAAAAGATATTTTATCTTCTACCTGCTCCTTTGGAACAACTACTTTAACAACTTTTTTTTGTAGATCGAAATAAATAAATAACTTCTGTTATTCAGAGGAACTCATAATTAAACAACCAGCGAAGTTTATTGCTTTATATTCAGTTATGCTTTTTTATACTTTACTATTTCAAAATAAGGCAGGTTTTCACAAGACTCAGACCTTCCTGCTTGTTTAAAAACTGAATGTGATTGTCTGCTTTATTTACTGTTTTATCTGAAAGACTAGAAATATAGAAATTGTTTCAACAAGTGAAAAGCAAAATTATTGCATTTTTATTTATTACAATGAATTTTGACAAAAAAAAATTCACACAAACCTGAAGTTTCACAGCAACAAAGTAAAGCTTTAATGCATTCTGCTATCTGACCATTATTAGAACTGCACTGTCAAAAACCTAAAGTAGATTATAAATCATGAACTTCTTTAATGATCAGTGGCTCATGTTCAGATTTTAAATGTTAAAATTTATTATCTGATAATCGTTTCTCTCAGTCTTCTCTCAGATAAGCTTCAGGCATCTCCTCCTCAGTGTTACTCTCCAACGCAGCAGCGTTTTCACTCATCCTTTCCACCTCCATGACTTTCGTCTCAGCCAGCTTCTTTTCTGCGTCCCGTGAGATCTTCTGGGCCTCCTCCACCTGCGACTGGGCCAGCTGAATGTTTGTCCTTACCGTGACGGATGCATGCTCAGCTCCTGCAAACCCACAGACACAGTTCAAAGCGACTGACGTCGGGACATTAGGTGGGATCATTAGGCAGGAAAGCTCGTCCATCGTCTCCTTTCTTTGTGGAGTGACTACAAACGATCCACCCGCTGAAAAAAAAAGGTGAAACGAGTGAGGTTCTAACTTTCCACACTCGTTACCCACCTGAAACGTACGCCGCCTCAGCCGCCGTCTCGCACAGCTTCACCGCAGTGAACCAGGTCGACTCGAAGCGCCTGCATGCTTCCTGTCTGTCGTTAACCTGCCGACAATCAAAACGCAAACAGGTCTACAACCGCCTGTTTTACTGAAGGGTTAACAAGTCACATTCATGAGGAAAACAAAGTAAAGTTATGCTTGAAGTGGAACACACCGACTGACCTCTGCTCGCTGGCCAATGATCACCTGCCAGATCGAATCCTCTTCTGCTGGAGTCAGTTTTCCCAGAGAGGCCAAATATCGTTTTTGTAAAGAAATGAGCGTGTGCACGGCCTATTAGCAAACACAGACAGAAGATTTGTTTATATATATATATA